TGCCGACATCGACGTCGGTGAGATCTGGCTGAAATCGAACCTATTTTGGCCAGATCTTGGGTATATTTTGATGGAAATGGGCTCAAGGGACGATTGAGGTTGCATCTGGGGTATCGTCGGTCGATTTGCAGTTAGGGTGTGTTTGATAAATTTCAAACTTATAGAGACTTGTCGTGATTTTTAGGGATATATTTGTTAAATTTTAAAAGTTTTTATTAATCGGTCAACCTAAGACCCATAAGCTTTGTCGGGTTTCACCTCAAGTTGGGTTTTAAAACATTGGTTAATAGCATTATTTGTTTTCCATTCAATGAAATATTAATTGGGTAGTGTTGAATATAATAGTATTAATAAATGAGAAGCGTTAAATAAAGCAGTCAATTGGCGGCAATGGCTTGTCGGAGAAGAAGCAAAAGAAGGAGCGGGAAAGCGAGTATGGTGACGCGGTGACAGGGTCAGCAAAGGGGTGGATTTTGGGGCGCACGAGCGAGCCGAAGTTTCTTTGGCACGCTCACAACGCGGTTATTTTCAATCAAACTTTTGGTGGTATTCTTAATTGCTTTGCTTGCTCGGTTTTATCTTCTTTTTAGGCAAATCTGTTTTATTAACTGAGTAGTCGGATAGGATGATGAAAACGTGTTTTATTCAAAGGTTTTAAATTTAATTTTTTTCGATCATTATAAAAGTGATTATCAAAAAGTTTACTTCATCGTTAATTTTAGGATTCTAAAATACTAGTTGAAATATATACAAACTGATCGAACACCCTAATACCAAAAAAATTAAAAAAGTAAAAAATATGTAAAATAAAATCTCTATTCATACATTAATTTTGTCTTAAAAAATTAAATTTTAGGCTCCGTTTGATTCACTCTTCAAAATACCAATAAGTTTTCCTAATAATGGTTTATGAAACCTAATCTCTGAATGACTTACTGTGTACTCTTCTCTTTCTTGTCGATTTGGAATTCCAGCCCTAAGTTTTCTCGAAGTATAAACTAAGTTGATATTTTTAATTTACAGTACAGTAATAAAATATTGTGACCAGTACGGTATTGCCAGCTTAATTCTGTATTAAGAAATTCAGAGTTCGTTTGTCAGTATTCTATGTATTATTAATTTATGCTTTTACGGCATTTTCAAAGGCAGAAGAATAATCTACCATTTGTGAGGAACTTTCAAAAGACAATGTAAATTCATTGAACGTTTATTATTATTGGTCTACGAATAAAGGGTGATTCTGATCACGTTCAGATTTACTCTAAGCTGCTACGAAGATGATGCATGGATGGAAGCTTAAAGTTCTGATCTTGTTTAGAGGAAAATGAAATTCCAATAGTATTAATCAATTAAACCTGTTTGTTGTTGAGGTTATTGCAGCTAATTGATCCTAATCCACACAAATGGGTTCAAATTATAAATCGTTGAAGCTTAAATTGAAATATTGAATGGATTACAGTTCACAAAAGAGAAGAGGTAGCCAAGATTGATTTAAACTGAGCAGAGCGTGTGACAGAAGCAAAACCCTAGGAATATACTAAAACCGCGTAAATTGCATGTGCTTTCAGAGTCGATTAAGAAACCACAGCCGTCTGATTTGACATGTGTCAGACTGACAAGATACAGGCATCAAGAAATTAACATATCTGACACGTGTGAGCCCATCACTTGCTTTTAAGATCGGTCCCACACAAAAAAATCCATCCATTCCTTGAAAGTTCTTCATTAAGAACGTTTAAATTTAACGGATCCGTTTGTTTTCTTACTTTTAATAAAATTTTAGGAATAATATTGGGTAGTTAAATAGGGGAGTATTACGAGATAAAATTTATAAAAAAACCTCATAGGTTTGTTAATTTAACTAAACACTCCAATAGATAAAAATTTTATAAAATGACAAAAAGCACCCTCACCCACCCACAGTGTCAGATTCCTGCCACCACCGTCGAAATCTAGCCGAAAAATGGCGTTACGATGCAGACCGATCGGATCTGGCGGTTAGGGCATCGATTCCGGCCAGATCCACCACGGATCTGGCCATTGACGACCACAAAAGTTCAGATCTGGCCGTCGTTGTCGGTCAACGACGGCCATTTCTTTGGCCGTCACAGTTCTGGTCGTTTGTAGGCTGTTGTGACAAATTCCGGCTATCACCGATGGTGGTTGCCGGAATCTGGCAAGTATGGGTGGGTGGGGGTATTTTTGTTAATTTTTAAACTTTTTATGGGGGTATTTAATGAAATTAATAAACTTAAGGGGACTAAAAATAATTAAAAAAATATACTAATATTTCTCAAATAACAAAACAAACAAGTATTTTGGGAATAAGATTTGGAATATAGGTAGAAATAACAAGCCAAACGGAGCCAATGATGGTGGTTATCGAGAGGTTTACTTGATCGTTAACTTCAAGATCTCAAAAGATTAGTCGAGATATACGTAAGTTGACCAGACACCTCCGATCAACAAAAAATTAGAAAAAGTATAAAATTTTTAAAATAAAATCTCTATTTAAACATTAATTTTGTCTTAGAAAAACGAAATTTTAGTTAATTTTTTTGTACTATAGAATTACATATTTATTTATTTAACGGCTAATGTTACACGTATGGAGATTGTACCAGGAACTGAAAATGGGGATTATGTATCTTTTACAAGTAATGATAACCAGAAGAAATTTGCATGAAAAATCACATGGAAGTGGGGCTCAATCTTTTTATGAAATGGAAGAAGCTTTATTAAATATATATATAAGTGGACCAACCATAAAGTTGTACTTGAATTATATTTATGTCTCTTTAGTGATTCACTTTTAACAAGCTTTGATGGCCAGCACGCAATCACCAAATTTCACGTAGGATTTAGAGTTAGCGGATAAGATTATATTCCTAAATAATTAAAATTAACTATCGTGCAATATGCTTTATAATTAAGTTATTGTATAAAATGGGAATTAATATTTAATTAATTAGGATAAAAATAACTTTAAAATAGAATGACAAGTGACAACCTATGGTCAAACTACACGTAATAAAATGAAAATTACCAAATTTATTACGATTAATTGATTCAACATTACACGAATTTGAATCCTTAACCCTTTTATAGATTATTGATGTTTCTAGCTATCTAGCTCCTTCAATTAATTTTATAACATACCAACTTTAGTAACGTGACAATTAATTTTAATCGAATAGACTCCATGAATAAATATTACAAATTTTTCTTTATAAATGACGTATCATCTTATATGATATTAAATATTTGCTCGAGTTATATTGAGACGTTAATTTTTATGTAAAAACACACCACTCATTAGTAGTATTATTTGTTTTCCATTCAATGAAATATTAATTGGGTAATGTTGAATATAATAGTATCAATAAATGAGAAAGTTAAATACAGAGAAGCGTTAAATAAAGCAGTCAATTGGCGGCAATGGCTTGTCGGAGAAGAAGCAAAAGAAGGAGCGGGAAAGGGGGTATGGTGACGCGGTGACAGGGTCAGCAAAGGGGCGGACGTTGGGGCGCACGAGCGAGTCGAAGTTTCTTTGGCACGCTCACAACGCGGTTCTTTTCAATCAAACTTTTGGTGGTATTCTTAATTGCTTTGTTTGCTCTGTTTTATCTTCTTTTTAGGCAAATCTGTTTTCTTCTGTATGGAAAAGGGCATATATTTTATATTATCAATCTCATCCGTTTATTTGCATGAATGAATGAAAGTAACCCCTTTGAATCTCTCATCGTCTTAAAGTTAAACGATCGGATAAACTATCCAGTGATCATTCTAATTAGCAATCGACGAAAATCAAATTTTTTAAGTAATATATCTAAAAATCTTTATTATCTCTTCCGACCACCCAGAGAATCTTCGATCAATTATACATCTCATTATGCGGTATATTGCTTATTGCAAGTTAGGTTGGGCATCAATCAACAATCAAGTGAAGCTTTTGTTTTTATCAGTATATGCAACAAAAAAGGGTAGCTTTAATTAGCTTATCATCTTCCATGCTTTGATTTGATTGGGATGTTAGATTCTTTTGCAATCTATTATGCAATTTGGGAGTCTTATTAGTAAATGATAATTTGCTACATATTAAGGACTGTTACTCTTTATAATCCAAAAAGATTAAAACAAAATAAATAATTTATTTTGTCCGATCAATGTCAATTTCGACCGACCACCAAAAGGGTCATAAAGATATATCAAATTGTGAATATGAATCGCTTGATTTGTAGTCAGATGAGTATGGGTTACTCAGAGATTTTATCTTCGAGTCACATAAAATGTCTTTACTTACCACATTTGTGACTTATCTAATCCATTAGACTTTTAGGGTGTTCAATAGATACTCGAGATCAGTTGAAGTACGCATAATTTAACTCGGACACTTCGGCCAAACAAAAAAGTGTGAATACGGATTGCCCTGAACCAAAAAATCTCCTAATTCACTTTACAAACTCAAGTTTGAAATTATAATCATAAAAAATGTAATCAATCTTAATGTCTCTTAAAACGGCAACAGATTGAATGAAATATTTTGTTTTCTTAAACACAAAAGCACAAACTTACATAACAAAAATAGGGAGTAGAGAGGGGCATTTAAGTCATTTGAATTGCATTAATTTAAGATAAAAACTTGGGCCAGCCTCTCACGTAAAACAAAAAAGTAATTTTGCCGTTTAAAGTTAAAAAGGCTCAGCCGCGAAAGAACGGGGTTTTTAAGTTTCACATGCACACGAGGCCACGTGGGCACACAAGTCCGTCCAGTCCAGTCCACACACAGAGACAACCGGTTAAACCGGTAAAAATATCCGCGTACGCAATTGTGGACCCAATGACCGCTCTTGAGTAATTAATGCCAACACCGTCCCAGTCGACATGGCTCCGTACACATTATTAACCGGCAAATGGCGGTCAACCGCAAATGGGAAACCTTCCAAATCCAAGCTGTTTTCCAAAAACGAAGCCCAAGTCTAATTCACACTTGAAAAAGAACCAAACCAAATTGAGTCTTAAACTCGAACTCAAAACTCAAAACTTATATCTCTCTTTTCTTCGGTTTTGGTTTTGTAATAACGAGAGAGCTTGAAGAGAAAGAGAGAAGAAAACACAAACACTAATGAAGAAGAATATCTGAGTTTGATTGATCAAAGCTGAATGGAGAAGAAAGGTGATGATAATTGTATTGTGTCCATGGCAAATTCGACATTTTCCGATGAGAATCCGGTGGCAAGTAATTTTGCTTTACCAAGCATCTTTGACATGTCATGTGAGGGAGATTATAAGTGGGGGTCTTTTGGGTTCGTGGATTTGCTTAGTGCCCATAACCAAGATTTTGGTGGCGGTGTTTCTTTATTCGATTCTTTACCACACCCACCACCGATTAATTTGCAGCCACTACAACAACAGCAACAGGAACAGCACCAGCACAAGAAACCACTCCCTTCACCGGCCTCCACTGTACCGGAATCTTCAGAGGTTTTGAACAACCCAGCTACTCCAAACTCTTCATCGATCTCTTCTTCATCAAATGAAGGTGCTAATAATGAAGACCAAACTAATAACAATAATAAAGGTGGGGATGATGAAGAACAGGATCAAGATAAGACTAAGAAACAGTAAGTGATCTTTCATTTCATGTATGCTATTAGTTTCTTCTTCTTCTAATATGAATATGAGTTTTGTTTGATGAGGATATTAAGGGAAAATTTGAGGATGAATAAGTGGGTTTAAGTTCTCTTAAATTTATGAGTTGTGGGGTTTGATTTGTTGTTTGTTTTTTGATTTATTAAGTGAAATGTTGTGTGTGTGTGTTGGTTGGTGTAGGTTGAAGCCCAAAAAGAAGAACCAAAAAAGGCAGAGAGAGCCGAGATTTGCGTTCATGACGAAGAGCGAAGTTGATCACTTAGATGACGGATATAGATGGAGAAAGTACGGCCAAAAAGCAGTGAAAAACAGCCCTCATCCAAGGTACTAAGTTTACCCATCCGGTCCCTCATCCTTTCTGATCACTCAAATTCTGTTTCTTGTTTCCCAAGATTTCAAATCAGTTTTACATTATTCTTTGGATAGTTAAAAGCTATTTTGTTTTTTACATTTTTATTTTGCTTGGCGCAGAAGCTACTATCGTTGCACCAGTGCAGGATGTGGTGTGAAAAAGAGAGTAGAGAGATCGTCTGACGATCAAACCATTGTTGTGACAACTTATGAAGGTCAACACATACACCCAAGTCCAATAACGCCTAGAGGAAATATTGGGATTATGGCTTCAGATTCAGCTCGTTTTGGTGCTACTTCTGCTTCATCTTTTGTCGTTCCCCAGCCTCAATATCTTCTAAATCAACATCATCCCTTTATATATACCTCCTCACCTTCTCTCAACATCACCTCTACTACTACTCCTTCTACTTTCAATAATCCTTCATTTTCCCGCTTTATTAATCAAGAGAAACGTATTAGTACTCCTTCGCCAGCTGCGTTGCTCAGAGACCACGGGCTTCTTCAGGACATAGTGCCATCACAGATGCGCAATGAGAACGATGAGAATTAGTATTATTTATATATTGATCTGATCTTATTGTACTGGTATGTAGTTCTCTAACATAACCCACTTCCTTCACCACCTCGATCGTAGACAGACATTTCAGATTGTCTCAATTGGGAAATGACCAGTCCATGGAGAACTGGTTTTGTACTTGTGAATTTCTATGTTTATTCTTTCTTTGTATCTAGAGATGAGACTATCCAGATGTGGAGTTAATGGGTTTTGTATCTTCCATTTTACTTCAGTTACTATTTCCTCTTTTCGCTTATTTTAGTCATTATCATTAACTATTTATCCATCTCTTGTGTTCTTCATTCACCTCTTGCTTTCTTAATATTCTTCTTCGTTGGTTGGAAAAACTGATATGATAATCAGAATTAGGGTTAGGGTTTCCCATTATTAAGAAAAAGTCGGTTTAAAATTGTTATATTTATCTCTCCTCCGTGTAAAGCTCACTTTATGGGAAAAAGAGAAGAATCTAGGATGAACTTTGGAACTTGATCCTACGATGGTGTGAAACCCTAAAAATGGGAATGGTTAAAAAGAGTTAAATGCGATATCTTGGAACATGCATGGGTTGCAATAATAATATGCAGTAATAAATATATATATACATATATATCTTCACCATGCCACCACTAACCATTTATGGTCTTTTTCTTCCTCTTTAAGCCACATTTTCATAAAGAAGAAGCTTGGATCACTAGTAAAATGTGTAGAAATAATAGTATGGTGTGGTTGCTTTATACATTGCTGATGATATCTATATGCGATTTCTTAGTCTTCGTTCATATTTCTCTGCCTTTTGTTAGGAATGTTCAGCCACTTTGATTGTCATTCTACTTGTAGAAGAAATGTAGCCACTACTCTAGCCAAGCCAGAGTTATTATTTCTAAAGTAATTAGATCGACATCAAGGGATGAAAGGCAGTTGAATTTCACCACATATATATATGTCTATAAATTTATATATATCTAACTAGCTTCACCGTTCTAATCCCTATGAAAGCACTCAACCAGATAATACATATATATATATATCGCCATGGCTTCATAAATCACTAGCATATGCCTATTACGTGCTATATATGCATATACATATATTTATGATTTATCATCATAAATGTTTAAAGAATCACGACATCTATAAAGCTCCTTTCCAAAAGTGGGTATGAGCTGTTTAGAAATCTAATCAAAGAGAAAGGTTTCTTCAGTTTAACACATGATGATAATATATGCTGCAGCCTCAAATAGATGAGAAGCTTGCAGGATTTGCATTGACTAAGTTGCCAAAAAATAAAGGTAACATGTTGTGGAGAATCAGTGTCATCATCTTTCTCCAATACGTCTAAGGTCTAATCACACTCTCCTTAATTTCCTAATCTCTAACTCGTGCTAGACTTATGGAAACTTTTCAGATTCACACAGCTTCTTGGAAATTAAACTTCTTATACTTGTCTATAAACAGTATAAAATATATATATAAAAAAAAATAATGGTTTCTTGTTTGATGAAGGGCTGCTAACTGGTTTTGAATTCAAGATCTCGTATGAACACAATCAGATAGCGTGGTACAAAAATATAAAATATTAACAAGAAGAAACAACAGAGTCATATACAGGATGATATAGTTAAAGGTTCTTCTAAAGTTTAATTGGCTTTAAGCATTCCTAGAAAGTGAAAACATTGGAAAGCTCTCTCTTGTTTGTTCCCAGAAAAAGGGCTTTTCATTTATACCAAATTTATAAACAGGTAAATCACTATTACTTTAACCAGACAGAGAAATCTTTGACTAACACTACATGGGATGTGGGAGAGAACTAATTGGTTCATTGTGAACTGAATCCTCCAACTATAGCCCCTCTTCTATACTCAGAATTTATTTAAGAAGGGTTTAGAGAATTTCCCTTATGTGTTTGTCTATATCCATTATGTTAAAGTTTAAGGTGGCACGCATTTGGTATAATCTGATTAAATCCAAAAACTTTGATACCCCAATATCGTTTTAGGATCCTAATTTTATAATACATGGTGCGAATTTTATATGATGTTTGGGTGGGTTAATTTGGTGGCTACAATTTTAAGATTTTAAATATAGAAAAGGAAAGAGAATCCACCAACAGAAGAAGTTTTCGTGTATAATGCAAGCTGATGATTAAGAGGTGAGGTGACCATACTATGGATGTCATATCATATATAGCTCTAGGCTTCATTATACAAAATTCAAACTATTATTTTACCAAACATTTAAAGGCTACAAAACTTAGCCTTAAGGACCTAAGAATTTAGGAGTTGGAATCAAATTTATTGATCTTTCTCTGTTTGTATTTACATTAGAGGAATCACTAGGCTTATTTTTATAATCAAATCATCCATAATTTGGACCTCAGAAAATATATTTACTTTTCCCTGTAATTTTTTTTTTTTTTTTTTTTTTTTTTACCGAAAGTGCTCAAATTAGCTTATATGTATCTCAACTATTTTTTTAGGACTTTAAAACTATTTGTCAGGTCAGAGTTTTAGTGGCTATTCTTATTAGCAACTGGGAAGACACTCGAACTTATGACTTTTTGAATAATACATTCAAGAGTCCTTATCGAACTATTCAACACGTAAATGTAGTTTGAAACGACACATTGCTGTCTTTGTTTTATTGTATTAACAAAATTTCTCTGGAGTCTTCTTCATCTTCTTTCGTTCGATTTCCGATCATGGGCTTGAGAATATCTTTAGGGAAAACTATGATTCCATCCTTAATGGGCTTCTGTTTTGCAGAGTTTTTTATGGGTCTAAAGCGTGTAATACTGCATGGTGAGCTTCAATGTGATTTACTATTAAGCTTCTAGGAATGTGGCCCAAATACACCCATACAATAATTTGGCATTCATTGACAAATCCCAAATGGCATATATTTTAGAGCCACTTTGAGGAAAGAACTCATTACTATTCCTATTGAAAACGATATATTCTCACCTCAAGTTTTGCAAAATCTCAAATTGGTATCTTTGGTTGCATTTATTCCAGACTTTCACCCTTAAAGTAACGTTGTTAACAATTTTTAGGTTACAGAGGATGCTATTACCATAATACCCTTAACAAATAAATTAATAAATTATTTATTAACCCCTAAATTAGTAGAGTTATAAAATTAATTATCTTATTTTTAAATTACTTCAATAACACCTTCGGTGTCTATGCACTCTCTCGGTTTTTACCCAATATGAGTTGTTTCCAATGGCATTGAACCCCCTATTCACCTCTATCACCTTTGACATAGTTCGTTGTCCAAAACCCCTCTAGTTCTTGACTCATTGGCCCCTTTGGTTGCCAACGCTGTTAAGTTTAGGGTTTCCTTGTTGTTCGCCTGAATTCGGTTAATTCCGATAGTAAAGATCCAATTGGACACCACCACAGCAATCAGCGTCTCCAACTCTACAAAACCCTTATGTCCCCAACAACCGTTTAGTTGTTGTTCGCCAACTGAGAGGTTTATGTTCATCGCATTTTTTGGAGCTACCATGGTCGGGAAGGTTAAGGGTTTTGTAGGGGGATGCAAGGAGTCAAACGATGGTGGTGGTTGAGGTTGTTGCAGCTCAAAACGGATGAAATCGACAAAAAAAGTCACAGCGTGGTTGTCATGGTCGGCGATCAACAAGTGATAAGGGGTTGTGAAGGGTAAGGCTTTGTAGAGGGGAGGATAAGGGTTCAAATGGTGGTGACAAGGGTGATTTTTGGTGGAAGAATTGTCGGAAAAGAGCGAAAAACGTTGGGGGCGATGCCTGCTAACGTGCGCCATAGCACTGTTAGAGGCGGTGATCTGCTAACGTACGTCATCTCCTATAAAATGACCAATTTACCCTTTTACCATTATATTAAACAATTTTCCATCAAATACAACCAAGGATACCAACTTAAGATTTTGCTAAACCTCAAGCGAGAATATGTCGTTTACTATTCCTATAATTCCCTCTTCAACGGGTAAATTTCTAAGTGTGGATAGTTACTGTAAATGCCATGGAAAGCAAACAGATAAAATGATTATTTTCATGTGACAACCAAATTTTTTGCCTGTAATGGCACATGATTGGAACAGTTTAACCCACCCTCGTAATTAAGTGAGGTAATGAAAAGCCAAATTAACTATTTACTTCATGGAGACTACTACAGTTTCAATCTTCTTAAGGGCTAAAACCATATTATTGTATCAAAAACAAACAACTGTCTGTCTTTTTTTCTTAACAAAATTGTTGAAGCTTTTCCACTTCTGTTAATCCCACAAGTTTAAGAGAATGGACGTCCTGAATAGCTTTGGAGAAGCACATGGCATTAGGTTACCAAGTGTGAAGTAGCTTGACCTCTTCCATGGCTTGAATGTTTCTTCACTTAACCACTCTCTGCTGCATGACATCTCTTCACAATCTGCTATTGTCACAACACTACTGTTCAACCTTCTGGTATTCTATATATAAGAAGCAACTTTCACCATTCCAACTCACTTCACTTGCAAACTTAATGTTTCAGATGGCTAAGTACTTGGCTTTCCTTTTTCTCATGCTTAAGCTTGCAACCACATTTGCATCCCAACTCAACTCTTTGAATGAGACGTGTCTTGGTGACGGTGGTTTCGACTTGCAAATTGATATATACATAAATAGCTGTCCAGAGGCTGAAGCCATCATCTTTTCTGGAGTTGAAAATGCTGTTTCCCAAGATTCGAGGATGGCGGCTTCGCTGCTTCGTCTTCATTTCCATGATTGCTTTGTTAATGCAAGTAGTCTTAATAGATATATTTACATTCTCATATTTCTATAGCCGCTTTTAGAGTGGTGTTATCAAGTGAAGTAACTGTGTTGTTTGAGTTTTTGTTTCAGGGTTGTGATGCTTCAGTGTTATTAGATGACACTGGGAACTTTGTTGGAGAAAAAACAGCACCACCTAATCTGAATTCATTGAGGGGGTTTGAAGTGATTGATTCAATAAAATCTGAACTTGAATCTGTTTGTCCTGAGACCGTCTCTTGCGCTGATATTCTGGCAGTTGCTGCTAGAGACTCGGTTGTTCTAGTATGTGATGTTTTATCAGTAATTCTTTAAGTCTTCCTGAGAAAATTGAACTGTGTTCACTTCACTAACTTATGTTGTACTAATCTGAAATTTAAATCACAGTCTGGTGGTCCAAGTTGGGAAGTGCAAATGGGTAGGAGGGACAGTTTGAGCGCTAGCAAAGCAGCTGCAACTAACAACATCCCAGCTCCAAATTCAACAGTGGCAAATCTTGTGGCCAAGTTCCAGAATGTTGGCCTTACACTCAATGACATGGTTGCGCTTTCTGGTAATAACTTCCTTCTTTACTGCTTAAACAATTGCTTGAATGTCAAGCTCGCTGATGTAGTTGTGTTAATATTATTTACTGGGCAGGTGCACACACAATGGGAAAGGCTCGATGCTCAACTTTCAGCTCTAGGCTACAGAATCTCAGCAACTCAAATGGTCCAGATGTTAATGTGGATTTCCTTCAATCTCTGCAGCAGCTGTGTTCGGAACCTGGCAGTAACACAGCACTCGCACATCTTGATCTAGTGACCCCAGCAACATTCGATAACCAGTACTATATTAACCTTCTTTCTGGGGAGGGATTGCTTCCATCTGATCAAGCTCTTGTTACAGGCAATGATCAAACTCGCGAAATTGTTGAATCCTATGTTGAAGACCCATTTATCTTCTTTGAAGACTTCAAGAACTCCATGTTGAAAATGGGGAGATTGGCACCTCTTACTGGGGAAAATGGTGAAATTCGTAGTAACTGCCGTGTTGTTTATTGACCTCTAGCTTAATAACTCACCTATGACATAAAAGCATCGCTTTGGCCAAGTATTATAGTTTCGATATTCCAATAGCTAGTGGTAGTATAAGGCTTGTATGGCTATCCCTTTTAAATTTTAATCCGAATTTCAATATCAGTAACCAGATTCAACAAACTTAGTACTTTCTTTATGTTGATTTATAATGCTTTGAGGCTAAGTTTTTGCTAAATGGGCTTCCTTGCTCTGGGAAGTCACCAGCTTAATTTAGGATTGATCATTGAAGATGGAAAAAAAATAACCCAGAGGAAAAACAAAGCAAAAAGAATAGAGTGGCCTTCAAGGCTTCAACTCCTAGCATAAATTTGCATCAGATGTACAAAGAGCTCAGCAATCCCACATTAATGTTATGATTTACTATATATGATTTTGGCTAAACATTATTTAACTATACCAACTAGTATTATGTTACAAAATGCGGCAACAACTTTGTGTTACAAAGGCATCCATTGCACAGAGGATTATTTCATCAAAGCCAATAACTCCAGGGCGGAAGATGGGATAATAATCGATGTGATAAAGATTAATGCTGGTCTGGCATTCGAATTATAAGCAGCTGTTCTAGCTCACCCTTGCCGGAAGTTTGATACAAAGTCTCTGGCTTTCGGATTCTTCAAACATGTAGTTTTGCCACTGGGCCACCTCTAATTCTACCTTTCCACTTCAAGTCCCTGCTGATAGATTAGGTTATTAGAATTGATGAAAATAATAGAACATGCCAAAAAAAATACATTGCAACTTCTGCTTATTTTCTAGAGGGATGGAGAGAGGTAGATAGAGTTTAAAGCCATAGGAAAAACCTGATGGCTTATTCTTCCACATCCACTCCTGAGCAGCCTGGACCCCCTGCTGCAGCACATGAGAATATGAGAATAAAATGTAATAACAGAGTGAATCTCAGATGATCAATATGACAACACTTGGTACCTGTTGGAAGCGTGTTGGATCATTGACTGAACCAGCTGCAGTTGGTAATTGAGGATATCCATGTTCCTGCAAAGCAAAAAGATCCTGAGAAAGATAGGACCATATAAACTCTCAACAGAGAAAAAATATGTAAAAACAAAGGTAAAGCAAAGTTGAGTGTTAATCTTGATAAACGCGGAAGCTTATTATAAAGGATAAATAGAGGCTCAATAGATTTAGTTGAAGGTAACAATTGTAAAGGCAGATATATGGAACATGTACAGCATATCCATCACAATCATGATCAGTTTGACTGAATTTCATAGTTTTTAAATAAGGAATTAACAGCAAAATAAAAATATATAATAACTTTATGAAATTTACCTGAGCACTATGTTGACCTCTAACTCCAGAAGCTGGATACTGGATTTCCACAACAAAGAGTTAAAATAAGAATTATATATTATGAATATTGTAAAAACTATGAAGCAATACTGACCGATGAAGAAAATGGCTGTTGCAACTGCTGCTGTTGTTGACGGAGCTGTGGTTGAAGGTGCATCTGTTGTGCTTGTGGAAGCTGCTGTGCAGGCAAAACTTGGGGGTTTGACTGGTTTTGAGGCTGTTGAACTGGTGGTTTTTGTTGCTGCTGCTGCTGTTCAAATAATATTAACTCTTCGGGTTTCTCCCACTACATGTTCACAGCAAACACTTGTTACATAAATGGATAAAAAGCAAAAGCCAGAAAGTCAATAGCAATAGGTCAATTTCTCACCTTGCTTTCACCAGTTATGCCATTATAATAGTACTTGTATCCATCTGGGGAGGTATGCTCTGTCCAATTACATTTTACGGGAGGTACAGTTTGGGTTGTTACAGATACAGCAGGGGCAGCCGATGTAGATGGGGGTGCATCTGCAGCTGGTGTGGAACCAGGAGCGCTGGCAACTGTCTGTGGTGCAATCCCAGCCCACTGAGACTGCAGGACCAAGTAATATACTTAGCAAATAACTTAAATGTTGCAGCAAATTTACCAAACAGTAGAATGAGGGTTCAAGATAAACAAACTAAAGTAGTAATTGGATGGAAATGGAAACTGTTATCTACCCACTCAAGCTTTGCTTGATAAAACGAAACCAAGCTTGATAATGAATTATGGTCCATTCATTTATCAAGAAAATCAAAACTCCATCTGATAGCTTGAAGCGGCTATTAGTCTATATATTATACGGTATCATATTATACATAAACAATATAATAAATACTTAAATAAGTAAATAATAAACAACAAAAACTCAAGCTCAACTATCTTATCAAACAACTCAATCTGAGCTCAAGTTTCTCTTTCATTCTTTTTCAACAAAGCAAAAGCCTCACTATTTTAATGCGAGTAATCTTTTTCATACGAAGGTCCCACTCATTTGCACTCTTATCTAGCCATCCTACCACAAGAAACTGGCAAAATATATTTACCAAGTGAAAGGTGTACTGTCATCTAGGTACATGGATTTCATAAGGAAAAAACAAGATCTATTGCTCGCAAGTATTACAAGATTCATCCAAGCAAAAACTTGATGAATATTAAACAAATACTACATGTCAAATCTTGCTCTCGTTATTTTTACTTCTGTAACCCACGTAATTTCTGTGGCAATTTTTAAACCAAAAATGATGAAATTGATCCATTTATAACAAGCTTATGAAATCCATTTGAAATGCTAAACGCTACAATTCCTGCGATCTAGTCATACCTGCTGTTTTGTAGACTGAGAACCCTGCTGCGATGATAGATTTTGATTAGATGGCTGCATCAGCTGCAATTGCTGCTGCAGTTGAGAGAACGCCTGCTGGGATGATTGAAAGGTCGCTTGCAGAGTTTGAGTCTGCTGTGACAGCATCTGAGCTAACTGAGAAGGGGATTGCTGATAAGGTTGAAGCATTTGCTGCTGGACAGGAGCAGGCAACTGCTGTTGATTTGTAGCATTGGACACTGGATTGGATTGCAGATTCAGATTTTGAAGAGTTTGTAGTGATGGAGCAGATGAAGCTATATGCTGAACCTGAGGTTGAGAACCAGTCAACTGTCCACTCAAGCCATGTAAATGCTGTGATGGCATTGCTTGGCTGAAGGGTGTCTGACTAGGAACCTGTAGCTGACCAACATGGGAACTCTGAGTCTGCGGGTAAGAAGATGGAGCCGGAGGATGTAGTTGAAGTGAAGGATTTATATGCTGAGGGGATTGACGCGGCTTCTGTAATGGCGATATTTGCTGACCAAGAGATGGTACTTGTGATAAAGGTTGGTTAAAACTCTGAGAGAATTGAGAACAAATTTTCTTACTACTTCTCGAATGACGAGGTAAGAGCATGAAGGCACAATAAACATATACAAATTTTACATACCTGTTGTGAAGCAGATGAAGTTGAAGAAACAGCAAGTCCTGGAAGAGGACCATCAGTAGGACCACCCTAAAATATTCCAAGCACAGTTAAGTAATAAAGTAAGAAGCAACAATCGAAGAAATGAGAATTTACATGTAATAGGTACACCATAACTGAACACAAGCTGCTATAGATGGCTTACATTTCACACATTAGTGCTACTATCATAAAGAATAATGCTGAAAATATATGTGTAGCAGAACCATCAAATCTGTTCTTACCGGATTTAAAGGCATTCCTAGATCACCAGACCTAGGAAGCAACTGATTCCCAAAACCACGGATGCCCGGATTTGAAGATGGTCCCATGTTCTGAGGACTCATTGGATGCCAAGCATTCTGAGGAATTCGATCACCCATAGGCTCACCAAACTTGGGTGCTGGTCTGCAGGAACATGAAAAGATAATTACAAAGGAAAAAAATTGAACAAGAAGATCAAAAAAACAATGAAGCATTAAACTTCACTAAACTTGTTGGGAAAGTGCGTACCTAGGCCCTGGTGGTGGAAACCGAGGACCAAAACCGGGACCTCCAAATGCTGGAGAAGTCCTAAAAAAGGATGAAAGATAAAGTTCACATATATCAGAGATACAGATAGGAAGCCAACACAGTAAACAGAGAGTTGGAACTATGTTCATATTTCATGAATATATATAAAAATGACAAAATAAAATGCCTAATCTAGTGTTAAAGACTACACTCCTCCCCTCCCATCGCAGAAAAGAGAAAACAAAATCAAATATATACTAAACCAAAATAACAAAACAGCAGCTCCCCACTCCGATAATAAATAAACTGTCTTAAGGAAAAAACCTTGAGTCTCCAAGCCTAGGCCTCTTAGGATCAGCAAACCGGACAGTTAATGGTTGATCACATCCCTAAAGATGCAGAAATAATACAATAAGTACATATCTTCAACAACATAGCTTGTAAACAGAACAATACTGAAGTATTAAACCATGGCCAAGATTACTCATGTAACAAATAATCCTTACTCTCATGGTATAAATTCCATTAAGAGCATTTATAGCTGCCAGTGCCATCTCTCTGTTAGAGTATTTAACAAATCCACATCCTTCAGAAAGAATTCAAAAAAACATGTCAGGAATGGGTCGATACAAACATGATGGAATTAGATTCCATATAAGTATGGAGGATAAAGAGAAAATATCAATGTCAGAACAGTAAAAAAAAACCAAAATCCTAATATTTTGAGGACTAGCAATTCAATTTAAGAAGCACTAAGAAGTGATGATAATATAACCATCTCACAAAAATTTTGGAAACTTCACTGTCAAGTTAAATTATGTGCATAAATGATAAATCAATCTTTAGGTTGGAAACATACCACGACTCAGCTTATATTCATCACGCATGAGGTAAACATCTTCAACTCTACCATATGGTGAAAAAATCTGTCAAGCAAAACAGTGCACAGCAGTTATGAGCAGAGCGAACAAGTTTTTGTGCTAAAAAAGTACGAACTTAGGCAGAAACAGAAAATTAAACACTAGAAGTTGATGTCTGGCATACTTCTTCAACTTCTTTTTCAGTAGCTTGTTTGTTCAGTGAGCCCACGAACAATTTGTACTCAACTGCACCTGTCATAAAAAGCAACGGCCTTTGGTTTACATAAATTAATTACATGGGGAGAGGAAAACAGCACACACACACACACATACATAGCAAGTCAGTCTGTTAATACATTAAGTTTCAGAAAAAATTTCCCCCAAAAAACCATTCTCCAATAGAGCATGCCAATTTCAAGCTGCGAAAGAATAGTCTCATGTAGGCACCATTCTCATTTGCCCCTGTTCAAGAGCCAGATAGGTGGTGCCATTTATTTTACCAGAAGAGAGTCAATGTTATTCTTGAGCTTCTATTAAAGTCCATTCTTTGACTATGAAATAGATACTCAAATGCGGACTTTACCCAAAACAAGGGTATGCCAAATCTCCAAATCAATAATGGTATGCCAGTGCAAATCAAATGGCACAAATTTGCAGAGACATCTTACTCCAGAATTAGCATAAACAAATTAACATAATTTGAAACAACCAAGATAAAAAGGCCAAAAGAAATCAAAATTGATGCGCAATTACCAAGACGTTCCCGCTCCCCATCAGCATATCGAACTTGGATAGGACCCATTCCCTATAAAACACATATTTATGGGTCAAACTGCCATAGTTGCCTTAGTAATTGAAAATCAAGAGCAGGTAGAAAAATTACCCCAGGCAAAGTATGTTGATTGTGCAAGGCTCTAATGGCCCTATCAGCTTCTTCTGAAGTTGCATATTTTATAAAACAACAACCTGAACCACCAAAGAATTTTTGTCCTGATTTCATTAGGTTACAGGCACCCCTTCAATGATGGTATACATAGGCAAAAGACAGTAACATACATATATGTGAATACCATTGTTAACAAAGTGGGGAAAAAACAGAGAGAGAGAAATAGCTCATGGACTTAAATAAATTTTGCTATTCTTCAAGGTCCAATCATCCAAGGACATTTTAAACAAACAGATAATCAACTTTCACATGGCAAAATAGAAGATAAAAAATAGGGGAAAAAACAAATATAGCCAACAGTTGATATAAAAATATAAATTGACAGATGCCTACGAATAACTACATCTATCTCAAAAAAGGCGAAGTCCATGGGCCCAACTTGCATGAAACCCTTGCTATATTGACATTAAGCATTAATTGTATGACAGTACAATATGTTCTCATCCAAAAAAAAAAAAAATATATGGCACTACAACAGTAACTGGCCAATTCGATACAGTAGGGGGTAAAAAAGGGAGACAGAGAAAAAGAAGGGAGAAACAGGTTTATTCAGAGTTCTTGACATATACATTTTCATGTATATATTGTAGCCCCTCAGCGAAGTAGTTTAAGACAAGAAAAGACAAACAAGCATACTGCAACCTGACTATAACTCTACAACTACTAAAGCCAATGCTGTTGCTACCGGTACTATTACAACTACAACTAATAATAATAATTACAAATCAATAATCAAAGATCTCTTCCTCAAGTTTTGCATTGAAAAAGAAGATGCCATTCGCAATAGCAACACATCACACACCATGGTTCATTTATGTGCATTCCTTATAATCAATGAAGGTGAGCCAAATCGAGAGCTAAATGTTTGCTAGACACAATACAGTATTTCAGTGATTGTCAAGCCCACTAAAACATCAATTTAAATCCCATGCAGTCATTTACAAGAAGCCATAATAATAGAGCACATGCTGATAGTCAAATTGTGGTTACAATTCGACAAGTCTAAATGTTGGCAAATTCAAGACCTTGATGATTCAATTTTTTTTTCCAAATAACTGGAAAGACAATAAGTTCCATTCCCAGAATAAAAAGCTGAAATGAACACCACCTCATCCAAAAACAAGAAAATAAAAAAGAAACCCAATCACTACATTCTTCCTTCAGTTTGTTTGATTCCACCAGCAAAACAGGCTTCAAGCAAATAGGTAATGCAGTAGGGTGAAATAATACATGGTAGACATACTGTTGTTAGACCCTAAAAAAGGTAAGAAGCCAATCAAAAGTTCCATAAAACCAAAATCAGACTAGCACCATCATGTCAGTATCACGTTTGTTGTGCAATCTAACTTGGAAGAATGGCTAAGTGCCACCTCAGCTTGATTGCAACAGGATCATCATACAGAAAAACACCAGCAAAAGAAGACACCTCCCCCACCAACATGGTGAAGCCATTTTACACAGAGTAATAAACAACCAAGATATTATGGTTGTGTAAGAGGAAGACACGACCCCTCTAAAAATGGTCTATATTATTTTATGTTCATACTTTTCTCAAAAATGGCATTAGCTCATAAGCGTATAAAGTTTCAGGAAGTCACAGACCTAAAATCAAGTGTCATTGTCAAGAAATCCTATGCATGACTTCATTTACAAAACAGAATGTAATAAAAAACGTAGTTGAAATAGATTCACAAATGATAATACATTGTAGACATTTCACATAAGCTAGATAACGATAGAACAATCAAATCCCATGCATTCTGTTCATAAGGCATCAACTTCAGATGTACATTTGACTGAGGATAACTCCTTACAGCCTTCCCCAAACACGTTAATCCCAATCCTAAACTTTGAGTCTCGGTCGTGAAGGAATTTCAAGACTTCTTTTTTCTCTGTTCACCTAAATTGGAAAGGAGTTTTGGGTTGATTCTATCATGTTCTGGGTTTTGGTTCAAGGAAGGGATGACTGTTTTTACAGTATGTATAACATGTTTCCCATTGGTTTTCTGATTCTTAGTAGATACTTGGTTCACAATTGCAGCATCTACTTTTTGTACTTTACACAGTATATTCTTTCTAATTAAAAGAGGAAATCAATCTGATTCAAATCAAACAGAACAAACCCTAAATGAAATCTAATATTCACATCCTGATAGGATTGTAATTTCTAGTATTATAATTTAATAAGTCAATATAAGCAAAATGTTTATGGTTAATCACATCCATAAACAATAAAGCAATTAGCAGAACAAAATTTATAGTGAATACCAATATCCAGACAGAAAATAGTAGTAAAATAGAGCTTAAAGATGAAACAATGCATTTGACGGGGGGAAAAGCCAATCATCCATCTCAATATAAATGGTTAATGATCATTCTGTTCCAATAATTTTGAAAGAAAAGAATAAAAAAGGGTCCATAACCTGCCCAACGCTGCTTCTTGTCATACATACTAAAATGAGCATCATTTATCATTTGATAGAGGGTTACTACTTAATATGATCAAACAAAAAGCAACCATGCCATCCTAGCCTCCATTGTCAGAATGGCAAAAATCAACCATCTATATCAAAGAGAGAAAAAAAAAAGAAAACTATACAAATTAATGATCATTCACCACCAGCTATTTAGAACCAAAAATATACATGCTTATTGCACAATGCAATTTGTTCACGCATAGATAGTAATTAATTGGCCATCAGTTTTAATCTTGGGGATTCACACTTAATTGATTAGACCACAAAGCAACCAACCATACTACCTCCAATGTCAAACTCATGATTTAACCACTAAGCAACCTGCCACACTACCTCCATAATTGAAACTTAGCCACATGGATGTGGTTGCCGATGAGTTAGTTTTCTAAAATCATGGATTTCCAAAAATTTATTTAAATACACATTACTGGTCACAAAACCACTCCTTCAAAAACTACCCAACAATAAGACCATAATGTATGATTGATAGTATAAGCAAAACACATCACTCTGCAGAACCACTACAGAGAGATAAAAACAGGTGACTAAGATACCAAAGAGATAGCATTGATAGATATTACCACCATGCCACAACTAATGTGTACTTATGCCATCAATAAAGGTACACAAAACAGCCATGGAACTTCAGTTATCATAGTACAAAAGTTGTCTGGACGCCCAAATAACAATTAACAAGCTTGTGAAGCTAACTTAGAATCTCAAGTACAAACTTTCACAGCGGAATAAAGCACCTCAACCAAAACAAAGCCCTCCAGATAACAGAAAATGTGCAAGTTCTCACTATGAACTCATTCATTTGCTCACACACAAACAACAGATTGGCATGACGTAAAGAAATTAGTAAGAAATATTGCAATACATATTTTAGCATTCAAAATGCAGCTGCACATTGTATTGAAATTTGAAATACAACATCCACGGAATATTCTATTGACATTCACATTTGGGAGCACCAGCGGCTACCATTCACCACAAGAGAAAAGGCCATCAACAAATAAGTATTTAAAGAAAATGACAAGCAACCAACAACCAAACCCCAATGTTAATAAAAATAGACATCAGGTCTCCAGCAGCAAATAACAACACTGATCTAATGAACAATCATAGATATAAAGTTGAGTAACTTGTTATATACTAAAATTGGTAGTAGAACCAACAAAACCATACTACGGCACTTCCATATATTACTTAGGCACTTAAACTTACAAGTATATGAAACAAAACAAACATTGGAAAAAAGTCCATACATTCAACTATTTCAACAACACGATGGAAAATTACTCGAAAACGCTCATGAGATGGGCTTTTAAATAAATTAAAACTATCACTGCATCCATGATCTGATTACAAATAACACAGAAAGACTAACACTGCCATCCAAGATCTGACTGCGAATAACACCGAAAGACTAACACTGCCATCCATGATTTGAAACAGAACAAACATTGGATAAAGGCCCATAAGTACAAATATTTCAATAATATGACAGAAAAACACCTCAAAACGGCTCATGAGATAGGCTTTTTAATAAATAAAAACTAACACTGCAATCCATAAGGAACGATTAACACTGCCATCCATGATTTGATCACAAATAAAAATACAACATCCAAATGAAATTTAACATCGTAGTCCACACACACCTAGCGCACAAAAATAACAAGGGGTTTAATTTCCAAAATTACATCAACAATAATGTCAACATCAGAAAAGCCAACTAATGGGCTCTTTAAACAACCATTAACCATCCTGTGACCACACCATCAAGAATAGGCTTAATTATTGATAGAAGCATAAGAACTCATCTAACTAGCTCAAGCGTGTAAAGACAACAACCACAGAATGGCATCACACTAATAGCCATCCAACAAATGTCCATATAACTGCTGACGATGGTATAGTAACATTTAAAACTCGTATAATCCAAACACCATCCAGTTCTAATATGTAATCTAACTCCAAATCCATCACATATTATCAATATCAAAAATAAAAAAATATATATAAGTTCATTCCAAGCATCCAAATAACAGAACTCCCAGGTTCATTAGATATTAAGATGTCAATAAAAAAAACCCCCAAAATACAAAGCGATTAACACCCATGAAAAAGAAAATAATCCAAGAATTTGGTCACTCTGTAACGTACAAAAGTTTAACTTTTAAAATCCTGATAGTATTAGGTTACAGTTATTGTAGCTGTAGGCTCTCCCGTTACAAATGACTTGTTAGATAAAACCCTTACCACCTCAACCACAAATATTACAACCCAGTGGATCTATTTCTCTTTAAAACATCTATCTGCCATACAATATACACAACTGGTTTTTTTCCTACGTTTGCATCGCTCTTCTTGTGTAACAGGACCGAAAAATTAAAAAAGGTCGCAACCAAAACCAACAAGCCCGAAACTTGTTGCAAAAACTAACTGAGACGAAAGATGAGCTTATGTTTGCTCCCATCAGCCTCTCAGGAGACCTGAAATAAGATAGGTATAAATCAAAGTTATGAAGAATAACATTCACACATACCTTGTTGTTGTCCAGTCCTCTTGTCTTTGATTAAAGCAACCTCTATCACATGTCCATGTTCTTCAAAGAAAGGGCGAATCTGACATCAAATAAGCAATTTTAACCAAAATAACAAGAATATTAACAAAGCAAAAACTCAGAGCAGGACTATAGGAGATAATAACAAGTACCAAAACTTTACCAATAGGTTCTACAATACCTCTAAGATAACAAAAAGGATGCATAATGGCAAGCACCACAATAATTCCTTAAATAGACTAATATACACATGCCAGCATCTTAATGAGAACTATAACATCATGACTAAGAAAGATCATGTCAACTCTGACTCAGAAACATATCATAAACCTAAGTTAATGCATTTCACGAAATGTGAAAGGGGTACTTCAAAAACACACAAGTGAGTAAAAAAAAAAAATACTTATATAACACATTATCTTTTCATGGATCAATATATTTGAGTTCAACATGATTGGGAATCGATAGACTTACATCCTCTTCAGTGGCTGTCTTTGGAACAGAGCCAACAAAAAGTTTCGCAAAACTGCCACCGTCAAATCGATCTGCAAGGAAATAAGACACAGCTAATCAGTACCTCAATAAAATCATTAAGGGACTAAGATTCACAGTGCATTCTGTCAATGCTCCAAGTGGATGCGTAGAACTAATTTGCGCGTAGCAAAGTGAATAAATGGATAATTAGAAATTTAGTCATCATGATCATTGATATGTAAAACACCAAGTGAATTTACAGTAATTTGAAGGTGTGCATCCAATGTCAATAATCCCAAAACAAACACATGGTTCTCGAGAAATTTGAAAAGAAACATTATTAATTACAGTTTTGAAATAGATTAACTTGTACAACACAAGCAAAATAAAACGAAATTCAATTGCTAATAATTAAAGCGAGCTAACCAGGAGAAGACCCTCGGCCAGAAAAACCTCTTTTCTGTCCCGAAACTTGCGGCAACGGTGGCGGCGCCACCGGATAGTTCGACCCAAACGCTCCGCCCATAGGAAGGAAACCTCCTCCTCCTCCACCGCCACCCATTGGCCTGAATCCTCCTCCACCGCCACCACCCGGTGGATGACGCGGAGGACTATCAAAAGGACGGCTACCCCCTCCTCCTCCTCCTCCACCTCCGCCACTTCCTCGAAAATTGTTAGGGCTACGGCGGCGGCTGTTATATTGATAAGAGTCTTGATTATTACTATTATTATTGTTGTTGTAGCGACTCATAGGACCGTCGGAGAAGCGAGAGGGACGACTGTGACGGTTGTAGTGAGAATCCTGGTTATCATTATTGTTGTAGTTGTCGTAATTGTAGCTGCTGCCGCCGTTGCCGTTGTTGTTATCGCTGCTGCCATAATAACGGTCTCCTCTGTGTCTATCCAGCTTTGCTGACTGGTTATTATTAAACCCTAACCCTAGAATTTTGAAGGAGAATGAGGAAATTAAGCAGTGCAGTGTTGCAAGAGGTGCGAGGAGAAGTGACGCAGTAATTATATATTGGGCCTAGTTTGAAAAGCCCATTTTAATGGGCTATCCAATTACATTACCCGAACCCAATATCCGATTACAATCATTCTGACATGGCCGTTGCCTGTTGGGTCCGTAATAGTAATACAAAGCAAGAGGTTATTTCCTCCTCGAGATTTGAGGAAAGTACAAAATGCACCCAAGGGTTTCGAAAAGTAGTAAATACATCCAAAAAATTAATCACCTTACTATACAATATTCTTTTTCTAATTATATATTCTTTTTAGTTTTTATATTTTAAATTTTTATTTTAACTATAGTAATATTTTTTAGCCAATTTTATAATAAATTATAATTTTAAAATATATATGAATAATTTAATTTTATACAATAAACTAAAAATTAAAAAAATTAATTAAACTACATACTTAGAAAATGAATAAAATAAAATATGAATATTTAAATTATTATTATTTCTTCGATTTCTATTTAACTGATTAAAAATAATATATAATTAGACAAAGGGTATTATAGTCTATAAGTTAAAGCAATCAATATTTGGGTGTATTTGTTACTTTTTGAAACTTTTCAGTGCCTTTAGTTTTCTCAAACCTTGAGGAACCTTGCAATTACTCTCCATGACTCTACCTATTTTTCTCGTGTGTTTATCGGCGTCGGACTCTATCAACCAAAACCTCACACACAGTACAAATAGCAAAGCAACTAGGACTAGGTGGAACAAATAGGTCGGGTTAGGCGGGTCAACCCTAACCCAGTCCACATTAAAGAGGGTTCAACCCTGTAACGCCCACTTAAGGTACGTAGCAAAAAAATCATGAATTGTGAGAATAAAGCACTCTAAGAGTAAAGAGAAAGAAAGAATAAACACTATAGAATAAAAGAAATAAAAGTGATAAAGAAGAGAAAAGAATAGGTTGTGCGATGAGGAACCCGTGAGTGATGAGCAGAATATCTCCGCATGTACGTCGCCTTCAGTGAGCGGCCTGAGATTGAGAAGAAGAATTGGTATAGCCCGTGAGAGTACATGCGGATGAGGGCTATACCCGAGAGAGAGAATACACTCACATGGCCAAGGGTTCCGAATTCATGCATCAACCAAGTCCAATCGGCATAGAATTAGAAAGAATAAGAATGAGAAAGCATGAGAAAGAAAAGAAAAGAAATGCATAAAGAGAAAGAATAGAAAAATAGCCTGAGAAAATAGAAGAGAAGAAAGAAACTGCATTACTGCATGTGCATTGCATTTATGCATGTTACATGATTTCTATCATGATTTGTGAGAATAAGAGAGAAAGAAAGAAACAGAAAGGAAGAAAGAACACACAGAGAGAGAGAGAATTAGTAAAAAGAATTGTGAAAATGAGAAACAGAGAAAGAAAAAGGAGAAAAAGAGTAGAGTAAGGAAATAATTAAGAAATGAAGCATGGGGATAGAGGATTAGAGGATTTACTTACTGAGCATTGTTTGTGCTCACCCCGTTGTTTTACATGTTTTTGCAGGAAATAGGTGAGGATGCGGTCAGATGGACGTCGGCAAGCAGAGAGAAATGGCTACACTATCCACCATTGTGATAGTTTTTGTACATGCTATTTTTGTACTATGTAAAGAATGTATATATTAAGTAAAGACAAATTTAGGCCCAACTACTTTCTATTAATTATAAATGTATTTTTATTAAGTATATGTTATGAGCATATTAGTAGAAAGAAGTCATTACAAACCCGGACCGCCAATAAAGCAGGTCGGGTTGAACCCGATCCGCATGCAACCCCCAAGCAGGCTAGGCTGTTATAAGGCAACCTGGCGACTCGATGGGTTGCTTTTTAAAAAAAAAAATAATAATAAGAACCTGCCAACCCATTGGTTTGAAAATTTCAACCCAGCGAGTTGGCAACAGCCAACCTGCCAGGTTGGCCGAAAAAAAATTAAACAAAATACAAAATTAATTTTTTTTTTTTCAAATACCCTTTTTACCTTTGAAATATAGTTGTTTTATAATAGTTTGAGGGGTCTTTTTCGCCATTTTCTTTTCCCAATTTTTTCTATAAATAAGCCCTAAACTCTCATATTTTCTCATATTCCAAATTCTCTCATGTTCTCCAATCTCTATTGAAATCTCTCAATTATTCTCTTTGTTGTCAATTTGCTCTCATTTTAATTTTTATTAGTTTTTGCAATTTTCAATTCATATTTCCAAATTCTAATTTTTTTCTTTAATTTTTTTATTTCTTTTATATCAAATTTTTTTTTTTTTAACTACAATGGATAGATATTTCCATCCTGTAAATTCTGATGATGAAGGAAACTACTATCCTAGTCCCCTTGAATTTACTAACATAAATGCAATAGATTCAAATAGTCCTGCATTCCCAGTCTTAGAGTCGGATACACCTCATAATATTCCCTCAATTCCTCCACATACTGCTACAGCTCCGGTGGTTATAGAAGTCGTCCTCGTCCAACTTCATCTGAAGCTGAAACGGGTTCATCAACTACTGTCAAAACCGACGACAGAAACACATAAGACGTTTGGGTGCATTTCGATAAGTTTTACGAGACAAAAAATGAAGTTCAAGTGAAGAAAGCAAGATGCAAGTATTGTGGAAATATTTATAAAGCTGATTCAGGCAATAGTATTAGTACTTTAAAAAAACATGCTAATAAATATATTGTTCAACATGGAAATAAAGAAACCAATCAAACTCAAATAACTAATATGGGTACTACTTGACGTTATAATTCTGATGTATATAGAGAACAATTAGCTTTATATATTGTTGCAACTGATAAACCTATTAATATGATTGAAGATAAATATTTTGAAAGATTTATTAAAAATTCTTTTTTTTTTCAGGATTTAAAAGTTATTATAAAACTGCAACTATAAATGATTTAATAAAATTGTTTGGGAAAATAAAATTATAATTAAAAAATAAAATACATAGTTGTCGTGTTAGTGTGGCTCTAACTGCCGATATTTGGAGTGGTAGAGCTAAACAAGATTATATTTGTGTGACTAGTCATTATTTTGATAACAAATGTAAATTTAATAAATTTTTATTTGTATTTATATTAATGGATGTTTATCATAGTTGTCAACAAATTTATAATAAAATTGTTGAAGTTTTAGAAGATTATGATGTTATTAATAAAGTAATAAGTTTAATTTTAGATAATGCAAGTGCTAATAGTATAGCTATAGATTTTTTTAAAATTAATTATCTTTTTTATAACAATTTAAAGTTTTTTCACCAACATTGTGCATGTCACATTATTAATTTAATTGTGAAAAGTGGTATGAAAACAATTAAAGATAATATTGATAGAATTATGGATTTTTTAGCTTGGATTACTAGTAGTAATAGAAGAAATGCTGAATTTCAAGATGCTAAATCAAATATGTCTCCTAGAACTTTTGCATTAGATATGGTTGTTAGATGGAATAGTACTTATTTAATACTTAATTCATGTTTACCTTATGCAAATTTAATTAGTTATTTTGTAGCAAATAATAGAGGTCCTCATTATTTAGTATAAAATGATTGGCATATAGCTAAAATATTTCATTATTTTCTTAAATTTTTTTACCAATCCACTTTATAACTTTTTGGTGTGTATCATTCTATTAGTCCATTGGCAATACATACAATTATAAAAAATTTAGAGTTATTTAGGAAAAACAAAAACAATGAAATTTTAGGGGGACCAATAAAGGCAAATTTTTTTGTTTTAAATATTGGAAACCCATTCATTTTTTTTATTGTTTAGGTGCTATATTTGATCCTATAATTAAAGTAGCAGGTTTAGAAAATGGTTTAGACACATTAACTGGAAATTTATAAAACGAAGCATATGCCAATCAACTAGGAGAGATAAGAGAATGTCTTGCAGAGGTATATTTCCAATATGAAAACAGGTATGGAAACCCCTAAAAGAGGCGAAATACCCAGGGAAGTTGCATTAGAAGAAACAAATGAAGACTTCTACTCCTAGAGTGCATTTAATAGGCCGAAGAGAACTCGAACCCGAAGCACAGCCTCCTCTTCAGAAGCACCAACAACGAATATACTATCCTCCATGCAGTCACAAAGTAATGAGCTTCAACAATATTTGGGAATCCCCGAAATGTTACTAGCAGATCCACAACAAAGAGCCAACTTTGATGTCTTAAAATATTGGAATACCAGAAAATGTATTTTTCCGGTATTATCAAGATTTGTCTTGGATGTTTTCGTTATTCCTGTCTTAACTATTTCATCCGAACAAACGTTTAGTGCAAATGAAAGAATTTTAAATGAAAGGAGGACTAAACTTTCACAAAAAATGATTGAAATTCTCACATGTCTTCGTGATTGGGAATGGTCGCGCCATCAAGATCAATACGAGGTTGTCGATGATACTTTAATAGAATCATTTTAATTTTGTAATATAGATGATACGGATGAGAGAGGTCCTAATCAACCCTCAAATTAGTTGTTTTGTAAATTGTAAATTGTAACTTGTAAATTAATTTTCAATTATTACACTTTTTTTTCTTTACCAAATTTTTGTCCTATTGAATTTTTCTTGGTAAGGATTTTAATGAGACAATAATTGTTGTAATTTTTTTTTTTTGATAAATGAATAAATCTAATTTTTTTTGTAATATTTGAAATGTTAACAAAAAAAAAAGTTAATTTAATTGAATTATTGATATTTGAAAAGGTTAACTAAAAACAATTACACAAAATAAAAGAAAAGAAAAAAGAAAATAAAAAAATGGGGTAACCCGGCCCGACCCTCAGCATAACCCGCCGGGTTAGGATGGATGGGCCGGGCCAGCCAACCCTAACAACGGCGGACCGGTTAGACCCAACCCGCCTAAACCCCTAACCCGCCGCGGGCCGG